AAAAGCAATGTTGTCGTTGATTGAAATGTAATAATTAAGTCCGTTTCAAAATATAATGTTCTGTTTATTGTTACTGCACTTTGGGGTTTTGTTTGGTATTTTTGCATTTTACACAGTGACATTAACGAAACTTGTTGTTTGTTTGTGCAGGATGGCTTCGCCCCACCTGAGGATGAGGTTCTTGATGACCAGCAAGGCCCCGATGAGCAGGACGAGTATTAAGGCGACCACACCCTACCCAAACCCCAACCATTCCCCTCAACAACCTCCTCCCCCTGCCCCGTCCTCTTTATTATGTACACTGCTGTACCCTACCTCTCTACCTCCTATTCCCTGCTCTTCCTCCCACACTCTACCTCCCTACTCTTCCCTATCAGAGACCTCCAACCCCCCCCCCCCCCCCCCGCATCTCAACAGCCTGGCACGCTCCAATTATCTCCTTACCACATTATGTCACTCAGTTAACGTTTTCACGGATCACGCACTCAGCATTCGCTCGCTTGCCTTCTAAAATAACGAGTCAATGGACAGAAATGTGCAGGTATTGCATCAACACGAAAATTGTCAATGTATCCATCCTTTACATCCCTGGTTAAAAAAAACAAATGTCGCATGTACTTTTCAATTTCGAAATCCATCCATGTAGGTAAATCACTGACAAATGGTGCAGAATGATTAGCATATTGATATCTCTGGGCATGGCACATATGCATTAAATTGATAGGTTTCTTGTGATGTGGTGTTATGTTTTAACCCCAAAAGAATGATGAACCTACATGGTGCCAAATGGCAGAGCTACAGACACAGGCCAGTATTTTGCAACTGGAATAATGCAGTTAAACCCCTGCCATCCACTTGATCCTCCAGCTGCTTGCAAATATTTTAATATATTTAATGTACAGTGGAAATTATTTTAAACTTTTTTTGGCTGTTGCTTTCTTTAGTTTTTATTTATTACAATTATTCAACAACATGTTAACGGAAATGCTGATTGTATGCTAATTCACCAATTAGATCTACACTATCTTTGAACACTGTTTTCCTGATGTTTATAATTAAGCAGTGGGCCTTACTATACAAGCACCGGATTACATTTGTTTATCTCAAAGAAATATCCAAATGCATTTGCACGAAATGAAATAATTTTGATGCACAACACCTTAATGACCATCTTTACCTGAGTGACAAGCAGCTATTAAGGATGACAATAGCTATTTTTAGGAATTAGGATAATAACAGTAATGTATGCCGGTCATGCATAACAATCCCCTTTTGCAGCATATTTGAGGTTAAATACTGACCTTGTCAAATACTTGTAAGGACAGTTTCCCAAACATGATCTAGTGTTTTGTGATTTTTGCAATTTGAAATTACTTTAAAGTTTGTAAATAGTTTCTTAGATGTTAACATTTCTTCCCAAGCTTGCTTGAAAAAAAATGTTTCTCTCGCTGGCTGTGTATGTGTTCTTTACGTGCTGTCTTTATTAAAACAATAAAAGCTCCTCGGATGCTTCATCAGGCTTTGTTTGCATGTACAAATTCGATGGCCGCGCCTGTATTTAATTTTGAATAAAGTGTGCTGCAAAAATGGCTGTATGTGGAAATTATACTTTAGGAGTGTACTTTAGGCATTGCATTTTGATTACATTGTTTTTGGACATTGCTCAATTTGATTACTGACATCCAAAATACTGTACACTACTTAGAGAAACCCAACCATTGTGCACAATTTTAAACTGCAAGGTATGGCCATCGTTGAAATCGTGTTGACATAAAATGCATAACTCCGTATCAGAAGGCACTGAAATCGCTGAGTTCGGTAATGGAGTTTTTTGTCTCCAGTTAAATCCATTACATACAAGCTTGTTGAGAAACTACTGAAATGTATGCAGTATATCTTCAGAGGTTATGCCGATTGTGGTACCTAAAGGAATATTGTAAAACAAAATAAAGTTATTTTGTAACATGCTCTTAATATAATAACGAGCTGGCCAGCTGCCTTCATTAGTATCTTGTGGAATAGTCCTTAAACACTTGAACAATGTTCTTTGAAAATATAAATGGGAATCTGCAACGTTGGTGTCATTTTCTAATTTCAGTTACCCAGCGTTGAGCTTTCACAAGTATCAATTGACCCATAACATTCATATGCTATCCTATAGTGTAGAACATCAAATTTGTCTACCGATACTCAGTACAAAAGGCAAGACATGTTAACATATCAACGACAAGTTCTATTTGAATATTCCAGTTGTCCACTGTACAGCAACTAGTTGGATCACATGTGCCCCTCTGGGCTTAAATGCCGATAACGTGAAAACGTGATGTGCATTACGACTCTCCTGCCTGTGGTCAGAGTGCATGTTGGTGCCTCTCCCTGCCACCCAAGCGAAAACATGTGTTGGAATTAATCCTGACATTTTCCGTGTGGCAGAAGCCCACATGAGCATACGTCTTTGTACTGTAATGTATGTAATGGATATTTTTTTACCACCAACTTTACATCTAAACATAGGTTTTTTTACAAACTGTTTAAGTTTAAAACTCAAGTGCTGTTACTGTGTTTTTGTAGGTGATGTATGTATGTTGAACTTCTTTCGCGCTGTCGACGATGCCCATTCACAGACACTTAGGGGTCATCCATTTAGTAGGTACACAATCTGTCAACTTGACCCCCCCCCCCTCCCTGTACACACGCGGACTTCTTACACCCCCCCCCCCCGGATCCTATAGAACGGCCGATATTTAATCCACGCAGAAACGATGAAAGATTAATAATATTAACGTGTTTAAGCAAACCTAGTCCACCGCCGGACTATCTTAACTCATTTGAAGGCCAATGTAGACATTATTATCGAGGCTTCACCCCCCCCCCCCATACGCAAGCTACGCATTTGGGTGAACCCCCTCCATGTGTACGTACTAAATGGATGGCCCCTTGCTGAGTATCATTACAACGCCCAGAGCACAAAGGCAGAGAGAGACCCGCAGACTCCTAAAGTCTTGATGTGCACGGTTGGAAAATGCAGTTTATTAATACCCTGACGAGTTAATGCGACCGGGGAATGACGACCCACCAAGGGAACGTGCCAATCCAGTCAAGTAACAACACGAATTAGAATGTATTCAAGAAAGCCTCACGTCTCAAGTCTATGCTAAAGTTGGGAGTGCTGTGGATGGATTCTTGCATCGCAGAGGATGGTGAAAGACGGGAATGTCCAGGGGAGGTCTTCATCCAGCAATGGGTTTTGGCTGGTGAGCCGTGGTGTCCATGTGGCAGTTGATACGGCAAGTTGAGGTCGCATGCCTTATTCTGTGCGACACGTTAACTGCGTCTCTTACGTTTCCCCGGATTTTGAGATAAAATAAACCTGTTGCACAAAACACCCGTGATGTGTTTTAATCTCCACTTTAACATCTACACCGGTTCGAAGTTAAAGGGACAAATGCTGCGTTTGGCTGTGGCAGCATGGCTCTAACACTGCACGTTGGAGGCCAAAGTTGGGTCATCACTCAGTGTTCGTGAAACCTCAAATCGCTGCTGGGGCGAGATGGCCACGAGAGGGCAGCACAACAAGTGGGATCGATAACCCATATGTGCGGACCTTGGAGATTGAATCCTCCTCTCTGGTGTGCTGCCACGTGAGAAAACACCAAGGCAGGATAACCAAAATATGTTTTTTTTTTAAGTCCTGTAGTTAATATTCCCGAAATCAGCCAACTCAAATCTCGTGCACTAAATATAATCTTATTAAAACAATCCTGTCTCCGTAATAGTCTTAAATCTAAGGCAAATGTTTATTGCATTACACAAAAATACATCTCGAGGTAAAACATGCTTTGATTTGGCAAGACGCGTGTGGTAATAGAGGCTGGAAGAAAAGGGGGGAGGGGCGGGGTGTGAGTGGGGGGGTGTGAGTGGGTGGGGAGGGTGAGCAGGGGGGGGGTGTGAGTGGGGGGGTGTGAGTGGGGGGGAGGGTGAGGAGGGGCGGGGTGTGAGTGGGTGGGGGGGTGAGGGGGGCGGGGTGTGAGTGGGTGGGGGGGTGAGGAGGGGGGGTGAGGGGGGGGTGAGGAGGGGCGGGGTGTGAGGGGGAGTGGGAAGGGGCGGGGTGTGAGTGGATGGGGGGGTGAGGGGGGGGTGAGGAGGGGGGGGGTGTGAGGTAGAGGGGTGACGAGGGGGTTGGTGGTGAGGAAGGGGCGGGGTGTTAGTTGGGGGAGAGTGAGGTGGGAGCGGGGGGTGAGTGGGGGTGGGGTGAGGAAGGGTGTGAGTGGGGTGGGGAGGGAGTAAGGGGCGGGGGGTGAGTGGGGGTTTAAGAGGGGGCGGGTATGAGGGGAGGGGCGAGGAAGGGGCGGGTGTGATTCGGGAAAGGGGTGAGGAGGGGCTTGGTGTGAGGGGCGGGGTGTGAGTGGGGGGGGTTAGGAGGGGTGGGGTATGAGTGGGGGGGTGTGAGTGGGGGGGGGGTGAGGAGGGGCGGGGTGTGAGTGGGGGGGGGGCGAGGGGGGGTGGGGTTTAGTTAAATTAACAACTCAACACATTCCGTCAAATCGCGTTGTGGCCATAAAAGGAGCACATTATGCAAAACAGGCGACGTTTAAGGAAATAGCCGTTCTACTTAGTACGTACAAACATTGTGCGATTTGAATATCGGGTCATTGTCCGAAACGTCGCCTATTATGATACATTTTTAGTCCACAGCGGTATCGGATGCACGCGTTGGGCAGTCTTGTGTACCTAATACGTATCCAGGATACGCTATCGATTTCCAAGCACAGTAACCGGTTAACGCGGCAACGATTACCGCGAGCGAACAAAAAAAAAATCGGTAGCAATCGTTAAGGAATCGATTCTCTTCACTCGTGTGTCCCAATCGTGAAGGAATCGATTCCCTTCACTCGTGTGTCCCAATCGTGAAGGGGAATCGATTCCTTTCACTCGTGTGTCCCAATCGTGAAGGGGAATCGATTCCTCGCGCCACCCCGGGGTGCCCCGCCCCGCCGTGGGCGTGACCGACAGGAAGTGACGCGCCGGGAAGAGCGGAAGTGAGGTGCGCGGTGTCGGCAGGAGTGGGCCACTGCTGCTGCTGCTGCTACTCGCGGGAGGAGGAGGAGCAGGTGGTGGAGGCGTCGTCGTCGTTGTTGTCGTCGACATGGCCGCGGAGCACGCGTACATCACGGCCGAGCAGCTCGCCGGCTTCGACAAGTACAAGGTGAGCACCCGCTCGGGGGCACGGTCCGCGGCGCTCGGCGTTCTTGCTGTTGTGTTGACTCCTGCCGCCACCGTCTCCGTCTCCGCTCGCCCACCTCATCACCTCGCCCACCTCGTCACCCACGCTGATGGTGTGGTGGTGGTGGTGGTCAGGGGTGGTTGTCATTCAGCGAGAGTGCTGGGGCGCGGGGGGGGGGGTGCGTAGCGGTTCGTGCGCAGGGCTACGAACCCGGCGACCCGAGTTCGATTCCCGCTCACGGCCACCAACGCCAATGACGATTATCTGAACCATTCCTGGGTCTCAAAAGAGTGCGTGGTGCGGTGTGTGAACATCGCCGCTGGGAAGACAAAGGCGGTCGGGTGTCGTGTTGGCCACCCACCCCCTCGCGTGCCTTGCCGGCCTTCATGGGTGCTCGCTAAAAGCACTTGCCCCCGTGATCTTTGTGTGAGAGACCGACGCTCACAACAGCGGGCGGAACGCCGGGTGTGTAAAACGGCGAGGTGACGATATGCAACACTTTGGGGGTGGTGGCAGCACCTCGGATTAGCACAGCTACGTACGGTGCGAAAGAAGTTCAAGATACAGCTACCGGTTAATTCAGGAGGTTCACCCCAAAACGCGTGGGTCTGGTTCGTAACCTTCGCCGCTTTTTCACGTGGCTCCAAAGTGCACCTAGCCTGGCACATGCCGCTGTGTGGTTTCGTGAACGTCAGTGGCGAATGGCGACTGGTGTGGGTCAGTGTCACCTTTCTTTGCCTTGTTACAATATCCGCCCCGTTAAATCAGTCATGTATTAGCATTTCTGGGGCTATGTTTAATAATTTTCGTGACTTCAAGATGTGTATGGTTATCGTTCGTCGTAATTAATGCATTAGTGTTCGTTCATTGTCGTACACGTCTGGAGTGTATACTGTAGTGGTTCATATCCTGTTGACCAGTGCTGCAATATTAATTTGTCCTTATTCATTGTCGTTTAGTTTCAATAAAACATTAACAATGACTTAAAACTGTTACATAATTCTTAATGTATTATTTAAGTAATTACCCACTTGTAACCAAATCACTCTTCCGTTTAGCACGGTTGGTTACCTACTGTGCGAAAGAAGTTCTACATACAGTACATACTCCGAATGACCCCTTATCCTGGTTGCTAAGCCTACATAGTGCTCGGATGGGTGACCACCGTGTATCACAGGTGCTATAGGCCACACACAGTGCAGCAAAAGCCATGGTGCTGTATGCACCGTGCTCCTACGTCTCGCCTCGCCTTCTCCAACACGAACTGACCAGCGTGGTGAAGTATGGGCAAATTGTCCCCACGACTCCCACGGTGTGGGGGGGGAGGCCCTCATTCAGCAGTGGATTTACAAAAGGGCTGTCGTGTAAATTGCAGTTAAATTAATGGAGGATTCAATCCTCATGTTATAACGCATGCATAATTATATGCGTTTATATTCTTGCATAATAAATTAATATGCTTAATCTTGAACTGTATTAAATTAATATGTTGATGATACAGGATTTCTAAATAATATATACATTCTAAAACAATAATGCCTCATCAGTCGTTCACAATTCATTTATAATTCATTAATGTATTCATAGTCATTCCTAATTATTTCGGAATTGATATGAATAATTGACAGCATATTTTCAGTCGACTGTTGGATGAACGCCTCTGCTGGTCGCGTCGGTCATGGAGGTTGTTTGACCGTGATTCTGATATTTCGCGTTCGTGCATGTGGTGGAAACGAGAGGCCCAGAAGAAGTTTAGACATCGCTTGACAATCGCTTGACATTGGCCAGTCCGTTTCGGGTTTCGGTGGAGCCGCTCATCATCCTTAATGGGTTCATAAAATATCGACATGCTTTGTGCAACATCAAGTCGTTGACCTGTGGATTAATTTACCCGAGCCATATGAATGTGGAATGTCTGCCACTGGCAAAGTGATTTCAATAGGAAATGGACATCCCCTCCCCCAAACTCAATTAAGCAAGAACACCACTTTGTGAATGCTGCTAACTGAAACCTTATACCAAGCCTCAGAGTGCCAGACATGTGTACTGCCCAAGATGTCAAGTAACTCCCAATATACTGTACACGTAAATGGCAGGTGATTGTAGTTCCCGGCAAAGAAACCCCACGCATTCCAGATATTTCATGTTCACCTCCTTGTCTCATTGCCCAGCAGAATTTTGACACTATGGTGCTCCCATCCCTGTGTGGTCCACCAACCCACAACATCTGAATCACTACCACAAACACCACCTCGTTTTAGTGAAACAGTGCTCAAAAGAGGTGGTATTTGTGGTGCGTAATTAAACCAAGAGAGCGGTGACTGCACCCGGCTGTTCCCCATCAGTACCCGGAGTGTCGCCGTTCGAACGGCTCACTCGTCGGGTGATTAATCCACAGTAATTGGAGGCGAGACACATTTTCGTGCCCGAGCGCGTCACAATCGGTCATTCCGTTCCACTGTGGGCTGCCATTGTGGAGAGGTTAATTGTGGGTTGTAATGCGGGAAGCGATGTTTTTGGTTTGGTTCCTTTATTCACGGATCTTTATCCTCCTGATGGGAGCTGCGTCGCTGTCCGAATCCTTACACTTTGCTGCCCCCCCCCCCCAGTGCATGAGGATAAAGGTCAGCTGACTTGTTCTATGTTCTATGTTCGATGCCTTGGGCACTGGCAGATGTTGCTCTGTGGGCCAAAAGCAAGAGAACAACTTGTGCACCACATGTTCTATGCTCAGGATTTTAAAACGTTTATTATGAATAATATTGGTCGCGAAATCCTACGTGTCAAACTTGTGTGAGCTAAGTTGCCAAGGCAAAGTGTGTGTGGTATGTTTGAGAAAAAGTGTGCTGTGTGGTGGGGAGCGGTAGTACAACAGTTAGCACGCTGCCCTACAAATCCAGGCACCCAAGTTCGATTCCCGCTTACGGCCAACACCAGCGACGATTATCTGAATCTGTCTGGACCATTCCTAGGTCGACTCAGCCTTAAATGAGTACCTGTTGCGATGTGTGAACATCGCCACTAGAGAGACAAAAAGTGGCCGGGCGCGTTGCTGCTACCCACCCCCTCGTGTGCCTTGCCGGTCTTAATCGGTCCTTCTCACTAACAGCCCTTGCCCTAACAGTCTGTAAAGGCTATACAATGGATATTTTTATTAGCGCGGCCAAAGCACGGTGTACGTTCAGCGAGAGTTGAAATATCACTTGCTGCAAGGTCACGCTGTCAGTTTGCGGGGCGCGCATGCAGGCACTGTAAGACACGTGCTTCTCTCCCTAAATTGTTCTCTCCGCATAACTGGCACGCAAGCACGCTGGGTTAGGGGGGGTGGTGGCTGGAAGGGAAAGTGCTCTTCCTGGTTCCGTACGTTGGGGGTGTAGAGGCAAGAGGGTACTGGCGGTCACTTGTGAGGTGAGGCTTGGTGGCTGCATGCACCATCTGGTCTTGTTTATTGCAGTCGCAATGTTCGTGGCCACGTCCACTGTCTCACGAGGGACTCGTGCCCTCTACTGCGCCACGCGTAGCCTGCCGGAAAGCACTCAATGGTCTTGTTAATCACGCCCGCATAAAAACAATTGAAGTGAAATGGTGTTGCCTTGCTGCCATACTATTGAGCTGTGTTCACCTCGTGCATATTGGGCGATTTAATTTAACGTTCATGTCTCCTAATGATCAATAATGATGGATTACTGTACATGTTACTAATAATGGCATATGCACTTTAATGATTGTTGAACATGTTTTTTTTTTATTCCATTCTTCTTGGTATTTCATATAATGTAGTGCAAATTTGATTTGTACATTTTCTATTAATATACAGTTACATGCTGGGAATGTAATTTCGTAGTCTCCATATAAAACATAGTATGAAATTAGTCCCCTTTTCATGTATACTCATTAACATGATTGGTTATAAAAGTCTACATTGTATACCTCTTATCCCCTCTAAACTCAAAGAATGGCAATTCAACCCGAGGCAGCTCTGTCATTTACATTCGCACAAAGGTGTTTAGCTTGAAGCAAAATCTCGGAAAGTTGAGGGCGCGTAATTTAACGTTAATTATCTCCAATTAATTACACGGCATGGCAGATATTCGCTGCCAGAGTTCAGAGAAAGGAGGTGTGCATGTTTTCACGTGCATTTATGCTGCACTTTTTTTTACCTTTGCTCTGAATAATTTGACATCGTGACGTCTGTAAAAAGATACTCACTGCCAACTTTTTCCATTCTCCTTTGCAGTACAGTGCTGTGGACACCAACCCACTGTCGGTGTACATCCTGCACCCATTCTGGAACTTTGTGGTCAAGGTGAGTGTGTGCGGTGCATTTGAAACTGTTAGTCCTGCAGTTAATTGCCCTAAGTTGTCACTTGTATTTGATTAAGCATGCTAATGTTATCATGTTTGAGAGCACAGTGTAGCAAGTGAAGACAGATGCGCTAACATTTGTTTGTACAGGAAGAGAGCGCAGTGTCGGTAGACTGGTACGAAGGGTAATTCAAACATTTATTTTCCAAGGGGTGTGCCTTGTCAGAGGTTTACAATCTCAGAAATGATTCATTTCATAACACATAGAAAGCACACAGGTGACTGTTCACTAAGTGCAAACAATGTGATCATTCTTATTTACCTTGGCAATTGAATATGGGGATTGCTACAAGTCACCAGGGTGATGAGTGATTCATGTTGAAACAACCACCACTAATTGTAACTTTACTCAGTACACATAGGAGAAACTTGCCTCATGATTGAGTGCATTACTTTTAAAGGCAATGCCAGTAACAGCAGTTAACGCTTATTAACTTGCCTGGCAGTCGGTCACTATGCCCTGTTTGGCTCCTGGCCGAGCACTGCCTTTAATTCTCACTTGACAGATTTCCAAGTGGAATGAATGTGGACATTTTCTTGTTAATCAAGCTGGTGGGCTTGAGTAGACTTACACAAAGAGCGCTTATCTTGTGTGCACTTTGCTCCCCCAGCCCTGTAGCCCTAGACAACATTCTTCCTGGAGTAGCACAGTTCCTCGGTTGACAATATTAGCAGTACTGCGAAGGTCGTTTATTTACAGGCCATTCTCAATTCACTGCTGGATGGAGGCCTCCTCACCCCGTGCTTGTCCTGAGGGTTATTTGACCGTACATCACCACGCTGGTCAGTGCGAGTTGGTGAAGGAGGTGCCCGGGAGCAGTTTAGGTATAACTCACCACTGCTGTGAGCCATCGCTGGGTATAACATTGAGGTTGCAGCGTTCACGGCACAGTGCGCTAACCACTGCACCCCCACTTCAACCCGAACGTTCACCAGTGGCATTTTTAAAACATTATAGGTGTCGTATTTCACAAGAAGCAGAAGTTTCATGTCTTTAGTTTGCTAAACATGGTTCTGTTTACACTTTCACTTCGTGACGTAATACACAAAAGCATCTTCTAGTTTGGAGGCAGATTACCTGATTTCAGTCTGCATTGTTCATACACTTTATATTCAAAGTTTGGGAGTCCATGTAATTGCAAAACTTATTGCTTGATATGTGTTCATTGTTACACCAACGATATGCTAATGTATTAATCTGAATGCTAGTACAGTGCATTAAAATAGTCTTAAATACGGGATTTAATTTGTTATTAATATTCTTCACAGAAACGCTAATGCTTATTCAGTCATGTATTCCAGCATGTTTCGTGGAAATCGGACCTCGTATCGTTAAATAAGATTGACAGTTGACCAGCATTTAGGCAAACAAACCTGACTGCTGATGAGACAATGTATGTCGAAACCGGTACAGAGTTTGCTTGTGTTGGAACAATGCCGCTGTCATTTTGGACTCCCAGAAGGCTTTGTGGCTGATGATGTAAGAAATACGATTTATGTTTTACACGAAGTGACAGATACGTAAAGTAGACGTTTTGTGTGCTTTATTTGTGTTAAATAATCAGCAGTAGCTCATGGAAGTGGGTTTTTCTGCGCACTCGCTCGCTCTCGCCTGTTCCACTTGCTGAAAGAAGGCGTCCGTGGTGTCTGTTTCATCACAGCTCTTCCCCAAGTGGGTGGCCCCCAACCTCCTGACCTTCTCGGGCTTCCTGCTGCTTGTTTTTAATTTCTTCATCTTGGCGTATTACGACTGGGACTTCTACGCGTCTGGTAAAAAAAAATACGAGCAGTTGGAAACGTGTGTATGTGTTCTCCCCGCGTCAGTGTGGTCTAATAAAACTCTTTTTGTCTAGTCAATGCTAGATTGTGTGGGGTCGACTCGGCCTCAGGACCACTTTGTGAGAAATTCAATCGTGGGTTGTTTTAATGGGACACCAGGCCCTGCCATAAGAATGTGGAATTTCTTCCACTGGCTCTGGGACTGTAAATGGGATTTGAGCACTGCCTCAATGCTCATTTGATCAGGAATTCACTTTGGCTTTTGGATGAGGGCCTTCCCCACACTCGTGCATATCATGCGGGTTATTTTTTTATCAAACTTGGTGATGCTGGTCGGTGCCGGTTGGTGAACGTGTGGAGCATGGATGTGGAATCATAGGTGTACAGTATAACATTTGACAATGTTTATGCATCCAAGCACTCTCCAGGTTCTCAGCCCTGCTTAAGCTGCTGAGATCTGTCGAGGTACGAGTTAATTCCGAGTTATTATTTGGTTTTAGGTTTAAAAATAAATATGCAACCCAAGAAACGTGCAGCTCTTAGCTTGTGCGTACATACCTACGCTGGTTGTCCCAATCCTTGGAAAGGTCTTTTTTATTGAAAAAAAACTTGATTTGAAGATTTCGTGACTGCAAGAATTACTCTTTGGTTCTTTTGGTAAAGTCGCGTAGAAATAAAATAAATAATAGGATACACGACGTTTCGATTGCAACACAATCAACCGTCATCAGGTGTGAAAGAATGCAAACCCCCCCCCCCCCCCTCTCTAGATAATGCCTCGCCACAGAGACGTTGTTTCTCTGTGTGTCTCTGTGTGTGTCTCTGTGTGTGTCTCTGTGTGTGTCTCTGTGTGTGTCTCTCTGCGTGTGTCTCTCTCTGTATGTGTCTCTCTCCAAGCTTGCATTCTTTCACACCTGATGACGGTTGCTTGTGTTGCAATCGAAACGTCGTCTATTCTATTTATTTTATTTTATTTCTACATCACTTTGCCGAAAGAACCAAAGAGTGAAAAATACAGTCATGAAAGTAGGGGTTGAGTGAATTATTATGGACCCCCAAAAGACTTCTATAGAGTTTAATTCAACATGTACAATTTAATAGAACAATGCGTTTGATGTCCACTAGATTTATTTTGACAGAGCACGTGAACATAATTATAGTATTTTATTAATTAACAAAGATACGACATTACATGCGACAGCCCGGAACACACAGCCTAGATAAGATAAGAGCTGTTTTTGAGAATTGAAAATGTTTTGAGTATTAAGGTTTTTTTTGCTGTGCAATTTAAGGAAGTCAACTTTTTTAAAATATATAATAGAAACGTCGTGAGAATTTTTCTTGTTTTATATTTTTAGTAATTTATTATTTCCCTTTTATGTGACTTTACCGAAAGAACCAAGAATATAAGTTTATATTAACAAAGAATGTTTAAAAAGTTGCACAGACTTAAACATGTTACTTATTTTCAAAGCCTAACCTTTATCAAGAAACGAAAAAGGAACACGCTTCTTATTACTGACTACGATGAACATAAATGTGTGTGAACATATATTTATGATAATAATTTTATCGATATATATAAAAGGGAAATTTGTGAATGTGTGTCTGTTCGAAATGTTTAGCATACTTCCCAACATGCAACAAACTTGAAATTTGGCATGTGGGTAGCTTCCAGACTGTACACAATGCAAAAAGTATAAAAATATACTTTTGTATTTGGGGGGGGGGGGGGGGTGCAATAAAGCATATATTTTGCACGGCAAGTGAGTGGTGACGTAACAGCTGCATGTGACCTCACATCTGTGATGTCACCCGCATGCGGCAGCGTCACGCAGGGTGCCTGCTGACGTCACGCATCCTTCCCCCACCCTCCGCTTAGGCCGTGTATTAATCCAAGACAATAATCCAAGTCTCGGGCGAAGCCGGGTAGTAAAGCTAGTCATATTGAGATTTACATTGGTTTTAAACAAACATTTACTCAAGCATATAACATAAGCGGGCACCGCGCAAAGACTTAACATCTCACGTTTTGCGCATGGCGTACGTACAACTTGAGAGCGCATTTCTTGCCAGGTGTTTCAGGATCGTGAGCCACCTTGTAGAAACGACACCCACCCGTTCGCCGCCGTGCAATGAGTACGCGCGTCCCAGCACCGCAGGGTGAATGACGGTGCAGCGATTCACGCCGGGCTGTCTCGTGCCCCCCCCCCTCATCCCAGCGCCGGGGCAGGTGCACGTGCCAGGATGGGTGTGGATCCTCGCCGGTATCCTCAGCTTCTTGGCATACACCCTCGGTAAGCACACACACACACACAATCTCGTACGGATACACACTACTAAACGTTTTATTTTACCAGGTAAGGCCCACTGAGCTATGCACCTTTTTTACAGAAGCGACCTCGCCACAAATGATAGCGCAGTGAAGTGGCTTATCATGTGGAAATTGATAGCAGCCAAATACTCTTAAATGCATGTTTCTAAATGTGGAGGGAAAAACTGGAGGACCTCATCCCATCAGTGTGAGCCTTTCAACAGTGATGGCTTCTATTTAGTTGCTGCTTGCACATTCGTCGCCGTCCACTGACAAATCGACGTAATTGTCCGTGTAAAAGCGCTCGAGAGAAAGATTACGGTGTTTTCCGGCACAGGACGTATTCTTGAAATGAACTGCCTCTGTCGAGTGCTCGTCGCTGGCCGTCTTCAAAGGCGTTATTTGTGTTTTCTTGGGAAATGATCAACTGTAGCCTTTTGATCTGACAAGGAAATAGTGATTTTCCAAGGCCACTTGAAGCCCTAGAGTGGTGATAGATTGAAAATCGCTCTTAATTAACTCCGCGGCTGTATCGTTCGCCTCGCTGCCTACTGTATCGGCCATCATGAACTCCCGTTTAATGCCAAATTATGTGTTACTATTGTTATTCAGGAGACTTACTACACATCTCCCTGTATACTTCACTGTTTCACAAGCCTTTTCAAACACAAATGATGGTTTGCTTTCCACTTACATGTACTCTTCGTATAAGCAAAGGTCTTCTTTTTTTATCATACCGTTTTCATAATTTGGGCACTGCATGATCATATTAACACCCACTGGTACTTTGGCGTTTCACTGTTGTTTCAGTCTATCCATTTTACGCCTCTTTAAAGGTAATGAAATACGTTCATAAAAATATAACATTAAATTTAGGTTGGGATGTAAGCGCATCTCTTGCGCCGTCTCCTGGGCACGCTGTCAGGATCGGCATTCCTGCCGTTGGCCGCGCTTGTCTGACGATGCGGTGTTTGCGAGTTCACGCGCCACGGCTAATTACGCACAATGGGGGGGGGGGGGGGGAATCTGTGCACGTGCGGCACGTCACTTGGTCGCCCACGATGGGCGACCCCCGTCGTGGAACGCCGCGGATAATCACTCGGTCAGATTAATTATAATTGCTGAAATCGTGAATATGAATTTATTATTATCATTGGCTTTGGGCTGGCCATCGAACAAAGACGGTTACTGCATCGCGTGTTTCCAGATGCCATCCTGCGGCCGTCTGGAGCTCTCTTGTGATATTAAGAAGCCACTGGCGCTATCCACTTGTAAATCATCCAGATTGACCACATTCTTTAGAACTGCTTTTGTGTTTATTCTCTTGTCCTTCACCACACCTCCAGATAGCACAGTTGGCTACATGCAGTGCGAAATAAGTTCAACATACGTACATACATTATTCTCACCACACGTGCAGCCCTCAGGGCAGCCACTGCTGGATGAGGACCTCCCCATGCCGTGCGGCATGTGGGGGTTGTTTGACCGTAGACTTCGTAGTACAGTACAACACTGGGTTTTCCTGCACTTTTCTCTACCTCCCCACCAAGTCGGCCCACAAGTCCTATCCTATGAGAACCTGATGTGCATGGTGTGGTCACCCATCTAAGCATTATCTAGGCTCAACCGTGCTTAGCTTTTGAGATATGTTAAGAGTGGCTGGATTCATAATGAATTGGTCCTATTTGTATTACTACTACTAAAGGGTTTCAATTCTTTATTAATCCAATATCAAAATCTATTTAAGTGACATTTCCAACAGTGACATTTCTCAATGTAGACACTGCTCTTTGGCATGGCATCCATCAGCCAAATATAGCAGGGCACATGTGACAGTGTTTACGCAAAAGTTAACCTCATAAAAACGACCTGTTGTACCTTTTAATTACACCCTTGTTTTGGAAGCAAATGCTAAGGGAAGTACGTCTTCTAGTCTTGCGTTACACACCAGCAGTAGCAACGGTTACTTTATCCCCTTTCTAGCAGTGGGGTTTCCCACTTCTGAATGGACACGTACAGGAACATCATGTGTACGCACGTTCTGTTTGCGGCTCTGCCAGCTGAAAAATCAACGTGTGTGTGTGTGCGCACCACGTTAGCCAGCCATTCCGTAATAGGTCTCACAGCAAGCGCCACCGTAATCTCCACTGCCAGCGCAACGCAGTGCTGCAAGGTGCACACTCCCAAGACTGTCACATTGTGAGGCATACCCATTTGAATAAATGCCAGGTCTCGGCGTAAATTTGACGGTAACTGCCGAGAATAAGCACTTTCGTATGGTAATCAGTGACGAAGGTGTCATGTGAATTAATTCATCATTTCACTCTCGCGTGCATGATTTCTTAGTTTAACTAGGCCTGCAGGCAACGCTTTCATATTGTTACAATTTTAAATTGTGTTACTGATGTTGAGGTGGTTGGGTGGTTCAGGGGTCAGAACATTGAGCCGGCACCGCTGAGACCCTGGGTTGTAATCGAGGTTTTGACCGCCCGTGATTAAATTGGGTACCCAAGTGTCGAGGGTTTCTGGTCTCGGCCCATTCGCTAGTGCCTGCACAGAAAACTGTCGCATACAATTTCGGTTTTTACTTAATATGGCCATATTCTGCTTTGACCATGTGATGAATGTTTCTTTGTCATGGAAAATTTGAGAGGACTCTTCCTGGTGTGGACACAAAGCAGGTCACTTGAAGGGATCTCAGAAGCAGTTTTGTGACATCTGCTTCTGCAAGCTGATATCTGCTTCTGCAAGTGTTATTTTTTAGATTTTTTTTGTCTTTCTCGTATTTTAAACAATTTTCTTCAGTGTCATCTCATGAGATGAGAAAATCTAATATAGAATTGAAGCTTTCGTGACTGCAGAAATTATTATACTCATTGGGTTTTTCGGTAAAGTCACGTATGTAGAAATAAAATAAAACTAAATAAAATGTAATTAAAATAATGGGATAAAACATAGTGTGTTTTACCACATTTCCACCTGATGATGATCGCTTGTGTTGCGTTCGAAATGTCGTGATTTATTTTAATTTTATTTAGATTTATTTTATTTACACATACGTGACTTTACCGAAAAAAACAATGAGTATAGATGAAAAATCTGTTTGGATCTCACAGAGCAGTCCAACCCTGAACGCAAGAGAGCGGCCTATGGAAGCAGATATTACAGAACTACCTCTGAGATCCCTTCAGTGAGCTCTGGTTTGTACAGTTGGGGAAAGCACTTTCCAACCAGCGTGTAATGTTCTGCAAAAATTCTAAAATGGTCATTGATCTCGTGACATGATATATATACCATTTACAGTGTGAGAAGGCAAAAAAACATGTATTTACTGCCGTGGCATCCCTGGTCCAAACTCATGTGTGCGCGAGTTGGGAGAGGTGGTGTAGCGGTTAGTGCGCTGCGCTACGAACCCGGCGAACCGAGTTCAATTCCCGCTCACGGCCAACAAGAGTGACGATTATCTGAACCCGTCCTGGGCCTCCCCTAGGTTGACTCAGCCTCATATGAGTACCTGGTGCTGTGTGTAAACATCGACACTCGGGAGACAAAGGCGGCTGGGCATGCGTGGTGCTGGCCACCCACCCCCCCCTTGTGTGCCGCACCGACCTTCATAGGTGTTCACTGTCAGCACTTGCCCCAACAGTCTGATACGGCTATACGGGGGATCTTTGTCTTTGTGCGCTCGCTCACAGACGGCATCGACGGCAAGCAGGCGCGGCGCACGGGCTCCAGCACCCCGTTGGGAGAGTTGTTCGACCACGGCCTCGACAGCTGGGCCTGCCTCTTCTTCGGCAGCACCGTCTACTCGATCTTCGGCCGCGGCCAGACGGGCGTGAGCCTCGCCACCATGCACATGCTGCTCTGGGTCGTGCTCTTCTCCTTCATCCTGTCTCACTGGGAGAAGTACAACACGGGCGTCCTCTTCCTGCCCTGGGGCTACGATATCAGCCAAGTGGTAAGCCAACAGAATGACGCGATTCGGGTTTCATTAGCGGCACTTTCGGTATCACTTTGTGCGCTTGTAGTGGGCCAACGGTTAGCAGCTACGCTTGCTTTAAATTCTCGTAATTGGCAACGAAGGGCCAAAGACTGGGCTGCAAGGATATTGAACCCCTGATGGATTGCATTGCTACCTCGTCCGACTTCAGGACAGCACAAGGGTTTTAGTGTTGTCACCCCCGATCATTCAGTTTCCAACGCGAGGATGTACCTTGTGGAAATTCTTAAGTTGAAACTTTGCAAATGGTGGTTTTTAATGCAGCAAACTGTGGTGGTTGCAATTGGAGGGTGCAGCTGTGACACACCATCGGATTCACCCTGAAAGACTTGACAATGACTGAAGCTTGTTCGAGACACAGCAAAGTAAGGGCTTCTTTCGAAGGGACTCAAATTCTTAAAATGTGCTGAAGCTACTCATTGGCATGTAGGCAGCCCTTCCATAAGAGTTATCTGATCATTTCAAAGCTGCATGTGTTATTATACACAATGCTACAGTAATGGCTCAGTATTAGGAGGAATGATGCATTCATCCATCCATCAATTATTATTCATTCTTAAGCTCACATTACTTGCGTTAAATAAGATTTCTCAATGTTTTTTTATTTCGATATAGGATGTATGTTATGGGTATTTTGTCACTCCTGTAGCCACTAGTGGTGCTGCCATTTATCACAATGATATTTTTTGTATTGATTTATGACCCTGAATTGTGACAATTAATTAAATTGTTCGACCTCTATACAATATTAATGATGTCCTCTGCTTTACAGGATGGTTAAATGCATTGTATGGGAACACAATGGCTACTTGCCTGCAGCGTAACTGTATTGAAAGTTGATTTTGAATGCGTAATTCCAGAAAGTGGTTCGGTTCTAACCCCCCATCCCCTCCTCTCCCGTCCATTATCAGACCATTTCCATCGTGTACATCGTGACGGCGGTGGTGGGCGTGGAGGCCTGGCATCAGGACTTGCCCTTCGGACTGCTCTACCGTGACTTATTCCTCTTCATGCTGCTGGGTGAGGGCAGCTGCGCACGCAGCGTGCCGCCACTTTGCCTCGTCTCCTTGCCTCCGATGCGTTTGGCGAGTGGCGTTGTTTACGCTGGAGAGAGTACTCATGCGTGACTAAACTGCCATTGTACACCAACCGCAGGCCGCTTGATGAATGGTGTTTGTTGACGCGGTTAGGAAACATTCGGCCGCAAGCTGTTTTACAAGACTGGCCCGAATATGACCTCGGTGCACGTGAGCATGATTGCTCTGCTAATTTAAATTAAAGATTTCCCTTTAGACTAAACAGTTCATGCAGTGAAAGCGCCAATGCATTTCACCTGCTCAGCCCAGTAAAAAATCTAATGAGAAACTATTGCTTGCACGGACACTTAACCTATCACACATGCACATTCTTACACAATGACAACGTGCCCACTGCTGACAATGTGGCCCTGAAGTTCACCGCACCTGCAGTACATGGTGGGGCAGGCTCAACCCCTGATTAGATTCTGAGATTTCACAAGATCAGGTGAATTACGGGTTATATGGGTCACAGCATGTGTGCTTTTATTTCCCACATTAAAAGTAACATTGGCAGAAACCGTCTCGTAGCAATGTACAGGTCTGGTTGGCCGTGCTGTTCAGATCAACGTGTTTAGAGGTGAGGGCCATTACCTAAGTGGAAATGCTCTTCACTGCTTTTGTGGTGTACTAGTGTACATTGATCTGAGGGTCGGGGAGGGGGTGGCGGTTTCAATTCGCGGTCAAGTGAGATGGAGTAAACTCTCTCGGTACTGGACACTTGGCAGGTTTTTGAAAATAAGAGCTTTGTTTGGACTAAGTGAGCGACAGAGTTGAGCACGCCCCTCCAAGCTTCCCATAAATAGGCTGTCGTGTTGTGAGCCGCAGGTCGTTGTCGTTTGTGTTACTCAAAACCAAGCGTTTATTTCTGCACGCAGTAGCAGCATGCGTTTGTATTCTAGCTGTGAATTTGAGCGGAACTTTGTCATGCAAACTGTGAATTGTGTACTGAGCGAGTGTGCAAGCATTGCACATGGGCGATGCTTGCAGTGCGTACATTTGGGGCAAATTTGACATGAAAATAACACGTATAGGGAAGTAGGATTAGTGACACTCGCAGTATGTTCATTTTTTTACAGCAGAATGGAATTTCAAATGTTCTGAAACTCAAGAATGCATAGAATGTGGTCTGACTTGGTGTTTGTTGTGCTACGAAGGGAATAGTTAATCTCTTTTTCTTTAGAATACGCTGCTCGGTCTGAAATAATCTTGTTATTCACTCCGCATAAACTATTCCTTGCAAGTGAGTAGGCCTTTTGGCGTCCTCTGGTCTAACACCTTTTGAGACTAGGCTCCAAGGAAAGCTGTCTCTAGGGTGGACCAATCAGTTTCCAAGACAATACATATATTGTCAGTGTTTTTTTTGCATTCTGACCACAAGTATTGTGGCTAATGCAGACATGATTCCTTGTTAAAGGTTTCAGTTTGGTGTTTTAACATCTTAACACCTGTTTTGTTTCCAGAAAAAAGGGGAAAACCTCTCATTGCAAAGTTAACTTCCTCAGTTGGTATGATTGGGAAGTATGTCTTGTGAACAAAACTCATACAATCTCACTGGGGATTTACTTGGTTCATTTCGTGAATGCAATATTCAAAGTCACACTTTAATAAAAGTATCATAGGTAATATTAAACATATTTGTACAAAATTGCATGCACCATTGGATGGCCTTGCCTCTTAGCCAGTCACTGTTTAACATCGTAGCGTTGAATAACTCATTTTTTACTCATTCTGGCCTCGATGCTTGTTGTAAATGGTAAACATTTAACACTTTCTCAGAAATAGTGTGCTCAGTGTACTCTTTAGTACAGCGTGTAACTGAACAGTTGACTTGAGAAGAGGTAGTAGGGCTTGGGCAGGTTACGCCACAAGACGAATTTCGAAGTGGCAGCCAAAAGAGTAAATGTGCCGGAGAGGACTTGGCGGTGCTTTGGGAAGGCCTACATCCAGCAGTGGATTGGTTATGGTTGATAATGATGAATACAATTAATGTTGACAAGGCTGAAAAGTGTCTCCCAGAGGTTAATGCCAAAATTAAAGCGGCATGTTTTCTGCTTATTGCTCAATCTATTTGCTTCACGGGGGCATTAGTGTTTGTGGTCTGACTTTCGCGGTAAGGTCAACTCAAATAAGTGCGGGCTGTGGTGACCTGCACCGCATATAGATGGTGCCCAGAATACTCAATGACTATCACAGCAATGGAATGCCCCACAGCTCGTGCGAGGCAAGCGTGCCGCTTTGCCAAATGTCACCGAAGCGCATGCACACACACACAAGTGCAACTGTGTTTTTGTAGCGGCCCATGCCTTAGTGGCATTTGCCCGTGCGACCCTATCGCATCGCATTACATGCTTTATAAGACTGTATGAAATGTTACATCGAGCAGTTAATGCGATTGAAAATGGTTCAACGCGTTTATTTGCCAAAGTATTAGGAGACTGCTGAATTGAATACGGTGTCCCATGTCAGAGATGTTGGAGATTTGGGGAGGCCTTCATCCAGCAGTGGGTAGATCATGGCTGATGATGAATATTATTAAATACTGTGTTCATGTTTCTCTGATGATGTGTTCCCAATAGGTGGAGCGTTTTTGGTCACCTTGCCCCAAAGCTTGTTCAACCTGCATAAGTGAGTTGTTTTTTCTGGATTTTAAGTTTTCGTGACTGCAAGGATCCATACTCTTTGGTTCTTTCGGTCAAGTCACGTAGGTGAAAATGAAAAAGTAAAAATAAAAATGAAAAATAAAAATAAAGAATAAAAATAACTAAATTAAATCACGACGTTTTGGAGGCAACACAAGTTTCCGTCATCAGGTGGGACAACCACAGCAAGAAACAGAATTACTATAGTGGGCTGTGGTTGTCCCACCTGATGACGGAAGCTTGTGTGGCCTCAGAAACGTTGTGATTTGATTTAGTTATTTTTATTCTTATTTTTTTTTCACCTACGTGACTTTACCGAAATAACAAAAGAGTATGAGTTTTATATATATTCTGTCTGCAAAGGCACGCGATGAACATTCTATTTCCTAACCTTTTGAAATATTTTTTTATTTTATTCCTGTCTCGTTGGCTATGTTAGCCTAATTGTCACATTAGCACATGATTTGAATTTGACTGGCACGAATCCGAAAAAAATGACTTCGTACACACACACAATGTCACGCATTTATCGAGGGCGTGAAATATATAATTGAATAGATTAATTCATGTCTTTCCACATGCTTATCTTTTTATCAGGTGTAACTGGAACCTCGTGCTTAATGAATGTGTGGTATAACTTTCTAAATTTCCATAATCACCCTTGGCCCATATTAATGTGACCCAATCTTTGTTTCACGTCGCTTGTTAGTTTCCTGGCTGCACTGAGGATGACGGAAAGGCCGTGTGACTTGTAACCAATTTCCAGTTTGACCCGTTATCGGATACTTTAAAATTTCCGTTCATCAGTGCACAGCTGCCAAGATGTGTTTGCCACTTGCTAAATAATAATAATCACGAATAAATGTGCAACATCGCCTGCTTAATCAACCGAAAGGGTTGAGGTGTGTTGTAACGGAGGCAGTTGCAGGAACCTTGTACCCTCAAGTGACCACCACACTGCCGCCACGCACGCAGTTGCACTTTGGAGCTGCCAGCCTGGCAATCCGCCTCATGCAAACTGTTAAAATGACCTCTCACATGTTCACATTTTTATTAGGGGGCAGCCTTATCGCTATCGGTCGTTTGTGTGTCGATTTTCCAGAGCAGTTCTTTCCATAGGGTGTTAACAAATAGTTTCCTCTGTTGGTTCGTGCCCCCAATGCTCCCCCGCGTTTTATGAAGTCATTGCACGACTCTATGTACTCGTATGAATTACTTCCCAGAAGTATGAATAAATGTTTCATTCTTACACAAGTGAGTATATTGAGGAAGTTATTGTTCTTTTAAGATTCTTAGGACCTTCTAAAGTAGGGCTATACATAGAAAATCTTTGAATGTAATATGGTCAGTCTCTTGAAGAACATTGACTTGTGTGTTCTTGGAATTATATTTGTATAGCCTAGAAAATATTGACATTCACATTCACTATTGTTGGTTATAACTGGCGTTATAGTCTCTTATATGATACTAAATACAGCACTCTGTTTCGTTAAAGCAGGAGACCAACACACTTTCTTGAATGAGATTGTAACTTATGCAAAATTGATTGCAGAATTTGAAATTAAGGGTAAGTTATTATTTATTGCATTGTTCTTAAACTTGATTTTGAGCTTTTGTGAGCATCAACTGCATGTTTTAAGTGTGTGTCTGTATATACTGGCTTTGTAATAGACTCATTGAAACTCCAACCTTCCTGTTGCTGCTCAAATCCCAACTTGAAGTGAAACTTGCCAAATAACTTGTGCGTTAATTTCCCGAACAAAACAATAGATAATGCATGATCAGGAAATGTCTCATTTACACCAGGCTTCCTAAAAACAGCGGGGAATCGTGTTGCCCGCCTGGGTGTGGCGGGCGGTCGTGTGTAGTATGCAGTGGTTAGCGTGCTGCGGTACAGCCTGGCGACCGGAGTTCAATTCCTGCTCATGACCACGAACATTGAGGAATATTTAAATATATCCTAGGACTCCCCTAGTGATTACCTGGTGCGAGGTGTAAACGCCAGCATTGGGGAGACAAAGGGGGCTGGGCGTGGTGTTGTCCACCCCCCAAACCCCCTTCCGTGTGCCGCCCCAGCTTTCGTAGACACTACTGCTCGCGAGCAGCACTTGCCCCAACAGTCTGTCGAAGGGTACACGGGGGATCTTTGTGCGCGCGTGTGGCAGGGCACACAAGGCCGGGACGCTCAAGAAGGACACCCTGTGGGAGGCCATGTTGCCCATGGTGTCGCCCACGCTGCTCTTTGTGCTCACATCCGCCTGGGTGTGGCTGTCTCCGGAGAGGGTCGTCGACAGCCAGCCGCGCGTCTTCTATTGGCTCGTGGGGACGCTCTTCTCCAACATCACGGTGAGCAGGAGGAGAGGAGGTCACAACAGCCAAAGGCGCACGAGGCAGTGTCACGAAAATGTGCATTCACAGCTACTCGTTTAAAAAATTTGTTACGAAAAATATTTTAAGATGTATGTATTTATGTTTGAACTTCTTTCGCATTGTACTAATTACAGAATTACAATGGCCAGCAGTGGTCATTTACAGTCACTGTCGTGGGGGTGTGTGTTTTTTTTTAATTTTAATGCAAATTGAATACTTGGGGAAAGTCTCACCGACGCTCAAGACTCTTTTTTACATACTTTTATTTAACTCACTCAGTTGTCGTTGTCATTGTCGTATCCTCAAATATTGTAACTAAATTTTAACCCACTTCTCAATGTGGTATCGACTGCAAACTTGGTATACTTATGTCATACTGATGACAATACTATATTTTATAAAAAAAATAAAATATATATTTTTAAACATTCATTTTTATATGTTATGTTTCGGCTTGGGTCTAATTGTCTACGCTCAACTGACGTTGGCTGTAAATCACCACGGTCCCTTACGTTATGGCAAGCTTTGCAGCCACTTCCTGGAGTCGTGGAGTTCTGCCATTATGAGTAGGGTACATTTCATTAAAGCGTGTTTAGAAAAAAAAGTTTTTTAAAAATATTTCTTTAGAAGGATCCTGCATTGAGGGGTTTGGCCAACAGAGTTCACGAGTGGCATGTGGGAGGAAACCGGGAGTGCCGGGGCAAACACCTGACACACGAGGGGGTGTCACTTGGCACTGTCACCTCGCCACCCAATGCCAACAACACCTGGCAAGCCCCGATGCTCGCCCATCAAAGTCAACTCTGCTTAGCTTCTGAGGTCTGATGACATTGGGCGGATTTAGTGGCCGATTTTGTAAACGTGCATTCTTCACCATGCTGCGAGACAGTTGTCCAATAAAATCCCAAACACTGGCCTGAAAAGCAGGGCTTGATAGCTGGAGAGATGAGTCTCGTCTAGCTGGAGGGGGTTGACAAAAGTTGTTACCGTTTGGTGGTGGCGGCACTTTGAGGAATGGCTGTGACTGTGGCTCCTCCCAGTGGCCAAAGAGCAGCCAGACTTAAATAGGGACTGCTTGACTGGGAACATTGCGGCCCTCTGGATGAATGTGGATTGTCTAAAACATGTGGCCAGACTCGTTGCTTAGCAATATTAATTAATTGTCATTGGCAGATTTTTTTTTACTTCTGCCCATGACTGAGACTGGCAAATGGGTTTGTTATACAAGTGCAGTCATCTACAGTTAGTAGAGCGCCTCACATTTAGCACTTCCCATTTCAGTTTCTGAATATATATGGATAAAAAAAACAACTAAACCTGATTTAAGTTTTTTTTTTTACATCGCATTCAAGAGTCCACGTTGTGTGTAGGGTTCGTTAATTTGGCGTGGCATTTGGTGCTTTTGTACTCCGGCTGTACTCTCGGTGTGGCGTCATGTGTCGTAGAATCTGTGGGCGGTCTCTCGCAAAGCAATGCGACGCTTCGTGTTAGAGAACGGCAGCAGCTATCTCTGAACTCCCTTCAAACGTTCTCTGATTCACACAGTAGGGGGCAGCATCTGCTCGTTTTTTTTGCGTTTGTTGTGGTTCGTGTCAATTGAGGCCTTCACTAACCCGCTGCTTTATGAGTCAAGTGGCAATACCATTCAATAATTACAAAATTGCAAGATTAACATTTCCCTAAGGTTTTATTCTCTGCATTCATATATTTTACAATAATTTGCAATAATGAGTTTCACGGTACCGTAAGCTTCCTTGCCTAGGTTTCATAAAACACATTTTTCATGCATCCAAGGTGTGAAATCGCTAACTGTAAGATACCAGTGCATTACTGCAAACAATCATATTGATGGGACTTGCTCGATTGCGTTGTGGTTTGTACCCATCCACAATCGTGGATTCTGGCAGCAATATCCTATTGTTTGTTTATCGTGTCTTGTGTCTCCCGCGACACTGCCGTGCGCGCGAGCAGTGCAAGCTGATCGTGTGCCAAATGAGCAGCACGCGCTGCCAGCCGCTGAACTGGCTCCTTGCGCCGCTGGCGTGCGCCGTGGCGTTCGTGGCGACTTTCCAGCCGAAGGTGGAGGTCGAGACGGCCGTGCTGTTTGGCATGACGGCGCTCGTCACTGCCGCGCACATCCACTACGGCGTGTGTGTGGTAAGTGGCGCTGGGCCGGACGGGGCAACACGGAGGCGGCGCTCAACGCAACTAGCAACCTTTAAACTAAATATTCTTAGGTTTTTTCGGTAAAGTCACGTAGGTAAAAAATTAAAGTTAATAAAAGTAAAATAAAAAATAAAATAATTTTTTTACCTACGTGACTTTACCGAAAAAACCTAAGAATATGAATCCTTGCAGTCACGAAAGCTTCAAATCTAGAATCTTTAAACTAAAAACTTTTTTATTTTATTTTACTAGGTAAGGCTCACTGGCCTGTGTTTTGCTCTTTTTCAGAAGTGACCTTGCCACAATTGATAGCTCAATGAAGTGGCTTATCACGTGGAAATTTATAACAACCAAATACTCTTAAATGCATGTTTCTAAATATGGAGGGAAACTCGGAGGACCCAGAGAAAAATCCTCGTGATCACGGGGAGAACACGCAAACTTCAAATATACAGGCGTAGGGTTTGTGATTGAACCAACGACATCCTGTATACTAGGAGAGGTGATTTATTATTTATTATTTAATTTCTATTATTTTTATAAGTACATTTTATTATTTATTTATTCCCTACGTGACTTTACCGAAAAAACCTAAGAGTACTTGGAGAGGTAGTTAACATCTTGCAACCTTGTCGCTCGTTCCCACGTAATTTTGCATTTCAAATGTGCGCATCCGCGATGAATATTTTAAGCGAATTAGTGAACAACGTTGCAGCACGAGTGAGCGGCAGCTCACTGCTCTCATGGACATCGTGGCTCACATGGCCAGTGTACAATACCTCCACTGTGCACTTAAAAATGACATCTTAAATTCTAACTTAGCAATCTTTGAAATACGTAATCGACCAGGCTATGTGTTAATTGTGTGTTGACCGACTCTCTGTGTCGTTTTACGTAACATTTCGATACTTTGCTAGGTTATTTAATTTAGTGTGTTCTGTCTCCCTCTAAGCCTGCTTACTTTACTACGCCTCCCTTCGTACTCATTGACATGTAAATGTTTTCCCCTACCCCCTCCCTCTCTCTGCCTCCGCCCCCCTCCGTCTATTTAAGGCCACCCCACAGAGACGATCACCCCTCTCTGTACCTGTGTTGCTCTCTCTATGTATCTTGGTGATATCTGTCTGCTTATATGTCTGTCTATAATTTTCTGGTTAGATTCTATGTCGCTATTTCATTATACCTGATGATGATTGCTTGTGTTGCAATCGAAACGTCGTATGCTATTATTTAATTTATTATTTTATCTTTATACGTGACTTTACCGAAAAAACCAAATAATAATTCCTGCAGTCACGAAAGCTCCAAAATTAAGATTGACATTCTTGGTCTTAAAAGAAAGAATACAAGATAGGCGACGTTTCGGGCAATGGGGCCTTCTTCATAGCACCTGATTGCTGTGTTCATGATATCCTGCTTCGCACATCATAGAAACGTTGAATATGAGAGCCTAAAATTATTTAGTGATGCGCTATGAAGAAGGGCCATTGACCCTGAGCGTCACTTATTGTATTTTTTGTTTTTTAAGGCAGTGGTATTGATGTTATTGACGAATGTATTGAGTTTGTTACTTGTTCTTGTGCACCACTGCCAATGCAGCATCACCAAATAATTTGTTGACATGTTGGTCTTTTAAATTATAAATGAAGCATGCAGCCAGATTCAACGGAGACGTTGACATATTCCAAAAAGTTGACCCTAGAGGCTACAGAAAACTTATTTTATATAGGACAATTTGTATCTTAATATTTTTACGGAATAAAACTTCTGATCACGAGTTACATTTTAAATGGTGTAAAATGTAAGTTAATGTTTGTTAGATGGTAGATTTCATTTTGTGCAAATATGAAATAAAAATGTCAATGGTTTTGTACCATAGAATGTAGATTTTTAAAGCAAAAATTGATTTGAGTTGCAACAGAAATATAATTTTAAAATGGCTTTGATAGAAAAAAAATTGTCATTTGTGGAGTTAAGGGAAAGGTTCCTTAATACTGAGTTTCAGATTCCTCACTTCATATCTCTTGGGTTGATGTGACCCCAGGGAACACAGCAGTATTACACCGTCTAAATTGTGAGCAAAACGCCCTCCGCGTGGCGTCACCCAAGGGTGTCTGAAATCAAGTGCAGCAAGCCTGAAGTGGCAATAAAATGTAAAACCCGCAAAGAGGGCCTTATGCTCACACATTCGTGAAAACGTTTAAATGAGGATGTGTTAACCAGCGCTGGTGAGATTTGATCTCGCACTTGGAGCCACTCTTAATTTCCTCTGCCGCCTTCCGCCCCCCCCCCCCCCCCCCCCACGTTTCCCTCCTTCCTTTTTTACCCCCCCCTTCTTTCCTCGGCCGCCGTTCAGGTGAGGCAGCTGTGCCGACACTTTGGCATCCGAGCTTTCTCGCTCGCGAAGCCAAACAGCGACTGACGAGCCGGACGGCCAGGGGGAGGACGGCTTCTTCGACGAGCAGAAGCAGCCGCTGGTGTAACGCGGTTCGGTGCCCCGTCCCCCCGTCCAAGCCAAGTGACCACTGCCCACTCTTACTCTAGGCAACGCACGCCTCGCAGGTGCTTGCGTCCCCACGCCCCCCCCTTAACTTTCATCGTCAGCACTGCGCACAGAGGCCCTGTACATTTAGGGGTGGTTGCATTTTACGATCAAATTTAGTGAAATATTGACGTTTTTGTTTTTGTTTGTTCATGAACGTAGTGTTGTTGTGTAAATATCCCAATACGGCAGTAGCCTGACGCGGGAGAGATTGTGTGCGTGGGTCATTCGTTAGTGGAGCACATTTTAACGGATGACTTTGTTGAAGCTGGCCACGTCCTCAGCATTGGTTCATACTGCGTGCTTTGTGTTTTGCCTGCAGTGTGCCGTGACTCGTGTATGCCAGTTACACGGCGCATCTTTAAATGCAGTAACGACATCGAGCAATGCTGTAGATCGTCACCTCCCCAAACATCTTTGGTACCATTTTATTAAATTGGTTTCCCTCCCACCCACGAAGCAGACTTAAAAAAAGCCACAGAGCGGGTCTATGTATAAAGCCACAGAACGGAGTCTATATTTTTCTGTGGGACCATTCGTGCCTGTACGGTCGTGCAAAAATGATGCACGAACTTGCAATCCATTTGGCCATTCCTGTAGCCACGTGACCTCTGAACTGTGGCAGATGATTGGGCCTCCCTCCGTTGCTGTCCCAGTCCAGAGTGGTCGAGTGGTGGCATCACGTTGGTTTTTTTCAAGACTGCTGATGAATGTTGTGATTAAACATGCACTCCACAAAAACACATTCGACCTTTTGTTCAATAACATCGGTGTCCTCACCTTGGCGTGTCATCTAAATCGTCTTTTGCAAGAACCTTGAAGTTGTGATCTGTCGAAGCGGCTGCGTTGAAGTCAACAGGAAAAATAACATTAACATGATCGTAGGTTTACATGTATCCAATTTCAAATATATGAACGAATGTATAACGGTCTAATTTATTTATATATAGTATATATATATTTCTTGATTTGTATTTGAAATTGATTTATCCATTTGAAAATTGCCTAGAGTTTAGTGGTGGGCACGTTAATTCACTTTAGTTTGTGATCGAAGTATGATTTTTGAGCGCCAGTTGCCTTCTCGCGGTTGCCGTGTATGCAATGAAGAGCGCGCCCTAAAATCTGACACAGGTGGGGCGCGCGCTGATACCCCTGTACACGCGCACGCGCGCACGCGCACGGCCTCGCCCGACGCCACGTCAACCCAAGTGGCCGGGTCGTAACGGGAGAGGGAAGGGAAACCGACGAAAGACGCCGGTTAATTCAAACTGAGCCACCGTGCCGCTCCCCCACTGCTCTCGCCTCCGAGGAGAGCCCCACCACCCCGGGTGAGGCTGCACTGTCTTCTAAAGCCAAGGAATTCAATTGTTATATTTTGTAACCGCGTTTAGTCGCCTGGTATTTTTCACCCATCCTCGCACACTCGGCACGAGAATAGACCGATCCAGGTTTATCTGGAAATAAATGACGACCACTCTTTGTGCTATCTTCCGGAGCGTTCCATTTCGGTAGCAAGTGTGTGAGAACACCTGATGTTACGCTCATTAAGGTGTTAACCACTGGGAATCTGTAATGGGTAAAAACATCACCGGCTTGCTACTTAGCCAGATAAATATACAACGTGATGTTTGCTTTTAACTTTTAGTTTAAGTTCTTTGGATTAAACTGGCTGGTTCTGTGCATCGCAGGCAGAAAAGAAAATGTTTTTGTCAGTGTTCTGTAACACGTTTTCCACGGTTGCTACAAATGCATCATATATACGTGCGTGTGTATATATGGCATATAATATTCTCATCGAAAAAAGTGTATTTTTAGCAAAGTGTGCGGCTGAATTTTGTAACGTAATCATGAGTAACAACACCCGTCTTAAAAGCCCCCTGCAATGTAATCGTACCGAATTTACAAAAGGTCATAGGCACAACTTTTAACTGTATGGAGCGTGTGTGGCGGTGGTTAGCGTGGTTGTGGCAGGGGGGGGGACGACAACGGTTTTTTTTTACATTGACAATTCTCGTTTTTTTCCAACGCAATTTGACTTTAGCAATCGAAACAGTGTTCGTGTGTGGTGACTGTGACTTCCAACGCATGCTATGAATTATCATTATTATTGCCACTTGCCTTCATGGAATGGCTCTATGGCAAGTGGGTGTTTGTTGTGTCCATGTTATTAAATGATTTTTTTTTTCTTTTAAAATTAGTTTTGTGTTTTATGAATTCATACAAGTGCAACCCACTCTACCTCCGAGTGTTTTTTTTTTTTTATCAGCAGGCTTGCAGTGCTGCACTGTTGGATGCCACTGTTCACAACCTGTGTTGTTTTGTTGGGAAATTCCAGTGCTCTGTGGCATTTTGCTGAGCTTTGTTTATATTTTTTTCTGTCCATTTATCACATACATTGACTGCATTATTTAAACACTACCAAAAAAACCCTGCAGCCTTTTTAACCGTCAGAGCTCATCAGAGGTCGTCACTTCGTTGTGTTAATCAATTTCTATTTTACAATGCATTAATAACTGTTCACTGTTTTGACACATACCAACATAGCTTCTTTTCTGACGATGGCTTTTTTTTAAGCTGCTGGTTTTGTTTAAATGTGTTATAAAATCTTTTCAACATTTACGGTATTTTTTATTCATGTTTGCCTTATCCCTCCTCATGAGCCAATGGTGCACTGCTTTCACTCCAAGTACTTGCTGTGTGCATCTGACGGGATTCGCTTACACGTGCCCAGTGGGTTTTAGTTGCATGTCCTGTAAATGCCCCTTGTAAGAAGGTACTCTGAATCATTTGGCGTTAACGTTTTTCAAAGAATGAAAATACAAACGTGACGGTGAGGTGCATTAAATCGCGTTTTGTAATTGAGCTTTTTTTGATCTAATTTAAATTGACTGTCAATGAACTGTGGCTGTTTCGCTGGCACAATATTAGCAAGCTTTCTGGTGTTTTGTGTGCATTGGGTGTGAATTGGTGAAACCTCGTTTTTTCAGAGATTATAAGTGGAAATAAACTGGATGTAACTGTTTATTGCAGGTTGGTTGAGTTTTTAATCAAGTGTAGCGTTCAAACATTGTACAGTTTACTCGATGGTTCTTTCGGTAAAGTCACGTAGAAATAAAATGTATTAAATGATAATAGAATACGACGTTTCGATTGCAACAAGCAACCGTCATCAGGTAAGAATGAATGAGAAAACAAACTTAGAAATATAATGCGACGCAACACAGTCGGCTAACACAACAGTCAACACCCTACCTGGTTGATTACGTTCTTCCAAAGATTGCTAAATTTGAGAGACAAAACAGACACGGAGACACACAGGACAGACAAGCAGAGAGAGACATAGACACCGAAACAACGCCTCTGTGTCGAGGCCTTAAAAAGAGAGAGGGGGGTGGTAGAGAAATTAGCATGTCAATGAGAGAGTTGTGTGGAAATCCTCCCCGTAGTGGCCGGAGGAGAAAAAAATGACCTATAAAACAAACGAGCATGGCAAATTTTTTTGAGCGAAATATGAAGTTTGAGAAAACAAACTTAGTAAAATTTGAAAGTGTAATGCAATGCAACACAGAGTCGATTAACACACAGTTAACACATAGCCTGGTTGATTACGTTCATTCCAAAGATTGCTAAATTAGAAGTTAAGTGTGAGTTGTGTGGAAATCCTCTCCGTAGAGGTGGTTCGAACTAGATTTGTAGCTTTCGTGACTGCAGGAATTACTCTGGTTCTTTCGGTAAAGTCACGTGGAAAGAAAAGAAATTAAATAATAATAGAATACGACGTTTAGACTGTTGCATTGCATTACACTTCCGAATCTTACTAAGTTTGTTTTCTCAAACTTCCTATTTCTCTCTCAAATTTTGCCATGCTCGTTTGTTAAAAGGTCCATTTTCTCTCCTCCGGCCGCTACTGGGGAGGATTTCCACACAACTCTCATTGACATGCTAATTTCTCTACCACCCCCCTCTCTCTTTTTAAGGCCTCGACACAGAGGCGTTGTTTCGGTGTCTATGTCTCTGTGTGTCTCTCTCTGCTTGTGTCTGTCTGTGTGTCTCCGTGTCTGTTTTGTCTCTCAAATTTAGCAATCTTTGGAAGAACGTAATCAACAGGTAGGGTGATTGACTTGTGTTAGCCGACTCTCTGTGTTGTATTACATTATATTTCTAAGTTTTTTTCTCATTCGTTCTTACCTGATGACGGTTGCTTGTGTTGCAATCGAAACGTCGTATTCTATTATTTACTTTATTTTTTTCTACGTGAAAGAACAAGAGAGTAATTCCTGCAGTCACGAAAGCTTCAGTTTGTTTTAGTTTAGTATCCTTGTTATGCGACCACCCAAAAATGAGGTGGGAAATAATTGGCCGCTCAAATCACCTCGGCTGTGTGTCGCTTCATTATTTGGTGATGGATGATGCTGCCGCTGCGTTGGCAGTGAGGCCATAGACGCTTCATGTCAGCGATGTGACGTTCGGCCAAGTCCCTGGCATGGCAGCAAGAGCCCCCTACTGCGCTGCCCGTGTATTTGGAAATGTGTCAAAATGCAATTAAATCCAGTAACAGCACAGCAAGGTTACAACGATGGCAGTAATTAAGTAGTGCACTACGGCACAGTGGTTTGGGTCTGAATGTGTGTGTAACAATTCCCTACTCTACTGTTATTAATTGGTAGGCGTGCCAGTTTACAGGCACGAGCTGAGCACGGTGATAATGTGTTACGTGCCTAATTTGCGTGCGATGTTAAGACGTTTCACTAAACTGTTTACAGGTTTACTCTGTCCTTGCCGGAGTGCGCTGCTTAATAACTGCCACGCACACAACCTTGCTGTTACCATTATTGTCGGGGGGGGGGGGGGTGTACATTTTGACGCACTTTCAAATGTGCTGACTCGGCATTTTTGTTGGTGTAAATTAGGGTGGTGAACGTCCGGCCCGCGGGCCGTATTAGGCCCGCGAAATCATTTGATCTGGCCCTGCCAAGGCAACCGCAGGCGAGACTCGAAATTAAATAAATCTAGGAGCAAACCTGGAAAAGCAGTTGCGAGTAGTAACATCATCAATACCAGCTAACATCACACGCCTCACCAAAGAGAAGCAGTTCCAGCCATCACATTAGGGGTGAGTTCATTAAATGGTTGACCAAATATAACGGGCTGAATTTTAAGTTGATAATTTTGTATGGCCCGCGAATGATGTTAGAAATATCCAAATGGCCCTTGGCAGAAAAAAGGTTCCCCACCCCTGGTCTGTAAAATGTTGCGGCCTCAGCCAAGCCAAGAGCAAATTAAAAAAACGCGTGAACATCGCCCATCGCGTGTGATTAGTCCTGTGACGTTACGTGCGTATGCCCCCAGCCACTTTCCAGTAAACACGATACGTTGACTCAACGTTGGTCTTGCGGTGCCAACCACGTCATGCCAACGTTGATGCTGTTTACTGGGTTATTCCTCCATGATGGGTAACACCGACCCTCTGTCTGCCCTGCATCGTCACATTATATGAGCGTGGAGAAAGAGACGCGGTGAGTCAAGTCATGAAAAAATGGGGGTGGGAGGGGGAGGTAGAGCGATTTTAGTTTTTACATGTATGGACACAGACCGAGGCATTTTGGGATAAGTAGATATGACTTCGCGAGGCTGGGATAGGGAGGGACAGTGTGCTGTGTTTTAGCTAAAGAGGCTCGGAGTCAGTAACTTCACAGAGGATGACAGACAGACGCTCAATCATAGTTATACGAATCTGAATTTTAAGGAAAAAAAGTTAAAATGGATAAAACATGGGTAAACAATTATGTTCAAGTACGTAGTTATCTGGGTTCGAGATCACGTGAGACGCGTGGTGTTGGTTATGTCATTGTGTGTAAGTGGGGAGCGGTGGTGCAGCGGTTAGCGCGCTTCGCTACGAACACGGCGACCCGGGTTCGATTCCCGCTCACGGCCAACACCAGTGACGATTATCTGAACCGGTCCTGGGTTTCCCCTAGGTCGACTCAGCCTCAAATTAGTACCTGGTGCGGTGTGTAAACATCACAACTAGGGAGACAAAGGCGGCCGGGCGTGGTGTTAGCTACCCACCCCCTCGTGTGCCGTGCCGGCCTTCATAGGTGCTCGCTAATAGCACTTGCCCCAACAGTCTGTTCAGACTATACGGAGGATCTTTGTATTTGGGGGTATCGCTTTTCCGTGTTTCACAATAAACTAAAACTACCCGCACGAGGGGAGAAGAGGGATCTTTGGACCACAGCAGCGGCGTCAACACCGCCACAGTTCCTGAAAGGGGCAGCGATCTTTTCCGTTCGCTGTGCGTGGGTTTGGTAATAATTGGAGTAACGCGTTTGGCCTGCGTCGCTCACTATTCATTGGACGCCGTTCCGATCCACAGCATACTGCGTAGGCTTTACCGGTCAATTTTGCGTGTGCGCACCCCTCTGAAATTACCAATGGCTTTATGGGGTGGGACCCTGATTTATGCAACTGGCAATCAGGCGACTCTGCGCCTCCTTTCCATCTGGCGTTACACGAGAAAAACTTGAAAGTGTTATTTGACACACACACCACAGCCTTGCGGGAGCGAATATTAAATTTCTGTCATCGTTGCTTTGTGATGTTATCGTAAAAATGTGGATTCAATATTTTAAAAACGTCGATAAGCTAAATAAGACACACCAACGCTGGTGGTGCTATTCCCCGTTTTCATGCAGATCTATTTTGAAAAGACTGATTATATTATCCAACTAAAAACTCTGCCGTTGTAAGTTTGCTGAACGCAAACTGCCAACGCAGATGCGCCACGAGGTGTCAGCATCATTTTCAGCTGACAGACGACTTTATTGTGAAGTTCGTACGGCGTTATGATCCAGAAGCACCTCCGAGGGCCGTGTTCTTTTAAAAAGGCCACCACGGGCCGCCAGTGGCGGGGGCCACTGGTGGCCCATGGTGGCCTTTAGTGCGGCCCCCGAAAATACACAAATGGTGAAAACATCCCCCCCATCATCATCGTGCCGCTGTCAAACCACCCCAATGGTTTCAAATTAGAGGCCGGCCGAAATTGAATTTCTGGTTTCGGCCCAAACCGAAAGTTAAAAATGTACTTTCGGCCGAAACCGAAACTATGCCGAAAGAGGCCATTTGCCAACTTTCGGCGCCGAAACCGAAACCGATTTTCGGTCGGCCTCTATTTCAAATGGTGTGGCGGCCCTCACACTGATGATGTCTGAAAATTGGTGAAGAACACTGCCACAGAGGCGTGGACATTGACAAACGACAGCGAACAAAAGCTGACATAAGTGTGCAGAGAAGGGCGGAGGCGACGCGCTTTTGGAAGTTGCACAGAGCCGCAGAAACAGGGGTCACAGGGGTCACAGGGGTCACAGGGGGCACATGGGGCATAGGGGGCACAGGGGTCACAGGGGGCACATGGGACACAGGGGTCACAGGGGCACAGGGGGCACAGGGGGCACATGGGGCACAGGGGACACAGGGGGCACGGGTCACAGGGGGCACAGAGGTCACAGGGGGCACAGGGGGCACATGGGGCACAGGGGACACAGGGGGCACAGGGGACACATGGGGCACAGGGGGCACAGGGGTCACAGGGGGCACAGGGGTCACAGGGGTCACAGGGGCACATGGGTCACAGGGGGCACATGGGTCACAGGGGTCACAGGGGGCACATGGGGCACAGGGGGCACATGGGGCACAGGGGTCACAGGGGTCACAAGGGCACAGGGGGCACAGGGGGCACAGGGGTCACAGGGGGCACAGGGGACACATGGGTCACAGGGGTCACAGGGGGCACATGGGTCACAGGGGTCACAGGGGCACATGGGGCACAGGGGACACAGGGGGCACAGGGGGCACAGGGGACACAGGGGGCACATGGGGCACAGGGGACACAGGGGGCACAGGGGGCACATGGGGCACAGGGGACACAGGGGGCACAGGGGTCACAGGGGGCACAGGGGGCACAGGGGTCACAGGGGACACAGGGGGCACAGGGGGCACAGGGGGCACATGGGGCACATGGGG